GTGGATGGAATTGGAGGACACCATGTTAAGTGAAGTAAGCCAGGTTCAGAAAGACAAAAGCAGCATGTTTTCTCTCATATGTGGAAGATAGATCCAAAAGATAAATGCATACACAAAAACAAATATGATCATATATGAATTTATAGACAGAACATTTTGTAATAGTGGAACTATTGTATGGAACACAGGAGAGAAGGGAAATGAAAAGAGAATGATAGTCAACAATATCAAAATGCATCTGTGCAGGTAGAGGATATATGATATGTATTGAAAACTGCTGAATAATAGGGCATGGGAGGGAAGGGGTAAGGGAGAGAAACAGGGGGGCTTGAACTGACCACTGTACAGTATAGTCACAACTGGGATACATCAAGAAACCCCTCTGAACACGTACTTTGGGGTTAAAAATAAAGGACAGGACTGCAAAATAGGTCTTATGAAGCATGGGTGCTTGTGACGGGGGAGGGTGAATGGAGAGGATAAAGGAGGATGAATATGGTCAATGTACTGTATATACATATATGAAGCAGAACCACGAAACCTTTTGTAATTGTTTTGAATAAGGGGGGAAGGGATGAGGGAGATAGATGGTAGGGGTGAACCTAACAAAAGTATAATTTCTGAATATATTCAGAAATGTTATAATGAAGCCCCACTGTACAACTAATGTATGCTAATAAAAATGATTTGAGAAAAAAAATCCCTAGAACCAAGTGAAAATGTAAACACAACATACCAGAATCTGTGGCTTACAGTAAAAGCAATCCAAGATGAAAGTTGGTGGCCTACACTTTAAAAACACAAAAATATGAGATCTTAAATAATGATGCACCTCAAAGTCTTAATAAAAAAAGAACAAACTAAACCACAAACCAGCAGAGGGAAGAAATAATACAGATCATAGCAGAAATAAATGAGAGATCAAAAAAAAATTAATAATACAAAGGCCCAATGAAACAAAGACTTGGTTTTTGGAAAAGCAAAACTCTTTTTGCCAAACTCATAAAAAAGGGATAAAATATGGCATAAATAAGACTAAAGATAAAAAAGGAGATATTATAACAGACATTGCTGAAATTCAGAAAATCACAAAGAATATTCTGAAGAAATGTTCTTCAATAAACTGGAAACTTTGAAGAAATGGATAACTTTCTAAATACATATGAGTTACAAAATTGAACCAAAAAGACAAATAAAACCTAAACAGATCCAATAATGAGCAATGAGATGAAAGAATAATACAAAGTTTCACAGTAAAGAGCAACCCAGGTCCATATGGTTTCAGTTCCGGATTTTCCACACTATTGAAGAAGAACTAATATAATTGCTCTTCAAACTATTCCATAAATAGAAATGGAAGGAGCCCTCCACACTCACACAACAAAGCCAGTATTACCCTGACACCAAAACCTGAGAAGGACCAAGCAAAAAAAAAAAAAGAAAACTAGAGCACTTTTATGGTCTGGTTAGTGAACGTAGGTGCAAAAATCCTCAATAAAATAATTTGCAAATCCAATTCAATAACACATTAAAAAGACCACATACCACAATCAAGTTGGTTTCATTACAGGACTGCATAAATGGTTCAACATACACAAATCAATAAATGTAATACAGCATGCAAATAAAATTAAGAATAAAACTTACATGATATCTCAACAGATACAGAAAAATCCTTTGACAAAATTCCACATCCCTTCATTATAAAAACCGTAAAGAAACGAGATATTGAAGGATCATACCTTAACATAATAAAGGTGATATATGACAAACCCATAGACAACATCATAATAAATGGGGGAGAACTGAAAGCATTTCCTTTAAAATCAGGAATGAGACAAGGGTGTCTACTCTCACAGCTCTTGTTCAATATATAGATACTTCAAGTTTTAAACCACAGAAATCAAGGGAAATAAATAAAATGGGTACAAATAGGAAAAGAGGAAGTCAAACTGTCCCTATTTGCAGATGATAGGATCCTATACTTAGAAGGCCTTTAGAGACACCATGAGAAGATTCATAAGACATAATAAATTCAGCAAAGTGGAAGAATACAAAATCAATAAAATACTGATACAAAAATCAGTGCTTTTCTATACACTAATAACAAATTCACTGAAGAGGAAATTAGGAAAACAATCTCATTCACCTCAAACAACAGTCAGAAATAAATGCAAACAATAAATTTACATACAATGTAAATTATAAAACGCTGATGACAGAAATTGAAGATAACAATAGAAGATGGGAAGACTTGCAATGCTCATGCATTGGGAGAATTAAATAGTTAAAACACCTAAACTACCAAAAAGTGTCTTCAGACTCAGTGCAATCCCACCAAAATACCAATATTTTCATCTCAGAACTAGAAAAAACAATCCTAAAATTTGTGTGGAAGCACAGAAGACCCCTGTTAACCAAAGCAATCCTGAGCAAGAAGAGCAATGCCGGAAGCATCACAACACTGCATTTCAAAATGTACTGCAGACCCATAATGATAAAAGCAGCATGGTTTTGGTGTAAAGGCAGACACTTATACCAATGGAATAGAACAGAAGAACTAGAAGTTAACCTTACAGCTAGGGCCACCCCTTTCTAGACAAAGGGGCCAAACATACATTGGAGAAAAGACTGCCTCTTAACAAAGGGGGCTGGGAAAACTGGATATCCACAAGGCTGAAACTAGATCCCTATCTTTCACCCTATGCAAAAATCAACTCAAAATGAACCAAAGACTTTAGTGTAAGACACGAAAATTAGAAAAATATAGAGGAAACACTCCAAGACATAGAGGCATAGGCAAAGATCTCCTAGGAGTTCAATCTCTCAGGATCCAATGCCAGTCATTGATAAGTGGCATTGTATCAAGTTAACAATCTGCACAGCAAAGGAAACAACAGAATGGGAAGACAGCCTACATAATGGGAGAAAAACCATCATCATCTATTCATCCAACAGAGGATTAAAACTCAGAAGACATGCAGAACTCAAAAATACAACAGCAAAGCAACAGTAATCCAATCAGTAAATGAGCAAATGAACAGAACAAATGCTTCTCAAAAGAAAAGGTACAAAAGACCAAGAATTTCATGAAAAAAATGTCAACATGGCCAAGTGCCAGTGACTCACATCTGTTATCCTAGCTACTCAGGAGGCAGAGATCAGGAGGATCATGGTTTGAGGCCAGCCTGAGAAAAATGAAAGTAAGACCCTATCTCAAAAATACCCAATACACACACCAAAAAAGGACTGGCAGAATGACTCATGGTAGAATGTCTGCCTAGCAAGTGTAAGGCCCTCAGTTCAAACCCCAGTACCGCAAAATAAAAAAAATTCTCAACATCTGTAGTCGTCAGGAAATGCAAATCAAACCTACACTGACTTTCCACCTCGCCCCAATCAGAATGGCTAGACTTAAGAAAACAAAAAACAACAAATGCTGGCAAGGATGCAGGGAAGCAGGAACACTATGCATGGCTGGTGGAAATGCAGGTTAAAGCATCTTCTATGGACCTCTGTATGGAGGTTTCTCAAAAAATGAAAAACACAACTTCTCTACAATCTTGCTATACCACTCCTGGGTAATATTTACAAAGGACTCAAAGTCAGCTTACAAAAGAGATAGCTGCACACCCATCTTTACAGCAGCACCATTTACAATAACCAAGTAATGGAAGCATACTAAACACCCATAAATGAACTAATGGATAAAGAAAGGGAACATATACACAGTGGAGCTTTATTCACCCATAATGAAGAATGAAATCATATCATTTACATGAAAATGGATAGAATTGGAATCATCAGGTCAACCAAAATAAGCCAGACTAAGAAAGAGAAGTATAACATAGTTACTCTCTTAAGTGAAATCTAGAGAGAGAGAGGGGAAAAAATGATGACATGAAAGTACAAGGAAGATTATTAGGGGAGAGGAAGGGACCAAGGGAAAGAGAGAGGGAGTTAAGAGAGGGTAATGGGAAGATGAACATTATACGTATATATGAAATGTCACAAGGAAACCCATTACTTTGTACAATTAATATGCACTAGCAATACTAGATAAATAAATGCTGGTGTCAGTAGGACTTGGTAGTTTGGATGTGAGGTTTCTGAGAATGACAACAGGCAAAGACCCAATGTTTGGGCCTCAACAGTCATACACTGAAGTGAAGATCCTGTGGGCAGGGCAGTCAGGAGAGGGTGGAAGGAAGTAGCACGATCAAGAGCTCAGATCCTGGGTATTCAAGAGCTTTTGCTGTACTGGAACCTTTGCAAACTTACCATATCCCATTGACTAGATGAGCAAACAAAGGCCCAGAGAAAGGAACCCACCACACAAGAAATCAGAGGCTAAGAAGCCATAGGTGGCAGCTCCTCAGGCCTGAGCTCCAGAAGCCCAAAGCAAACCAAGGCACTGTCAGAAACTCCTGGAGTAATTTCACAATGGCAGATGAGTTGGGCAACTTCCTTCTTCAACCTCCAGTCCCTGGGTGCTGCTTAATTTGACAAAACAGGAAGAACATCTGTGCTGGGCTCCCTGCTGCCTGATGAGGTAGAGGCTGTTCTGCTTTTGGTGCACTAGTTGACCAGCCCCCCGGGCCTAGGACACACATACCAGTGGATGTTGTAGCCTGGCTGGATGAGCAATGGGGCTCAGGAAGTTCCCAAAACAATGGGAAGCTGGAAAGATGATCCTTGGTCTGGCTGTAATGTTTTCTACTAAGGAACTTCCCTGGCAGACACAGCCCAATTCCCCAACCCTCCCCCCAATCCTGAGAACCAGGGCTGGGCCCCACACCCTGCCTGGAGAGTCAGAACTCTGGTTCTGCAGGCTCTTGGTGCTGGGTGTTGTGTGACGGGGAGCTGTGTGCACCTTTGTGCTGTATATGTCTGCACTTGCTGCAGCACGGGCTTGTCCTGGGTCCTCTCCTCCCCTGGCCACGCCCTCTTGGGGTTCTGTTGGGTGACTTGTACTTCCTGTTTCCCCAGGTCTGGGTTGTTCTCCTTGTTTAGTGCTCCAGTGTCAGGAGAGCTCTGACAAGAACTGCAAATGGGCAGCTCTGAGCCCACTCCTGGGCTCTAAGCCCACCTTCTGCATTGCATCTCCCCTACCTCAGCACTGTGGCTAAAGGTTGATGCCAGGATTCCTACTTCCCAGAGATGGAAGAACCTGAGGAACACAGAACAGTGAGTGCCACTTACACTGGCCCCTCAACTTCCCATCCTCTGGTTCTCCCGCCCCCATCCTCCCATTCATCTATCTTCCCATCCATCCATCTTTCCATCCCTTTGTCTTCCCATCCTTCTTACTCCCCTTCCCTTACCCTCCTATCCCTCCATCCTCATCGTCCTGTCCATCAAGATTCCAATTCATCTCTGATTCATCCTGGGTCCTACCCAGAACCCCCCCATAACCTGACCTCTTTCAGTGTATCCCAGTCTCCTCAGAGCTCCTTCCTACCATTTTCCTCATAATTCCCCTTCACTTCCCTCTTCCTAACACCACCTTGGCAGATGCTTTGGGGGGTTACAAAACTGGATTCTGAGCACAAAATAGTAGTTGTGCACCAGGCAGAAAACTATTCCAGTGAGAGTCTTATACTGGGAGATGGTAGGGGTCAAGGCACAGGGAGACCACTTCCCTCTGCCTGCCTCATGCCTTTCACCACCCACCTCCCATAAACATCCTTAAGACTCCCTTGCATGGGTCAGAGATGGCTGGAGGAGCTCAGCATCAGCTAGCCTACCACTTGGATCTACTGAAAAAGGAGGAGTTGACAGAGTTCCAGCTTCGGCTGCCCAACAATGCACTCTCTAAGAGCTCTTCCAGTGCCATGCCAGCTCAGCCAGAGAAGTCGAATGGCATGGAGGTGGCCTCGTGCCTGGTGGCTCAGTATGGGTATCAGCAGGCCTGGGACGTGGCGCTCCAAACATTGGAGAAGATGGGCCTGAGGATGCCGCGTGCCCAGGTCCAGACAGAGGAAGCCTTGATGTCAAGTGAGTAGATACAGGTACCCAACCTGCCCCACTGGGACCCCACTACTGCCACCAAATCATTCACCAGGCACTCCTGGTGGTGACTTAGACTGCCTTGACAAAGAAGACCCAGATCCCAGCTTAAACTGGAGCTGGGAGGTGCCTAGGAGCCCTTTCTTGAATCCCAGAACCCATGCCCTACACAGGTACATTGCAATGTGTTCCCCACACTATCTGGGAAGGAGGCTCAGGGGCTGCAGAGTGGAGAGGCTGGCATTCAGAAGGACTCTGAGAAGGGAGGGCATGGGTTCCAGTCCAGCTTCCAAGAAGAGCACTTGTCCAGGACTGAAGTTATCAGCACAGACTTAGGAGGTAGGAAGAGGCAGGCCCTATTCTAGTACTACTACTCTGGGAAAGTTACCGTCCCTCCTGCCTCTGTTTCTCCATTTGTAAAATAGGAGAGTAAGAGCCTGCTTGCTTAGAATTATGGGGAGGAAAAGAAATAATCGATGCTAAACATATAACAGAGTCTAATATACAGTAAATGCTCAATAAATAGGAGCTCTGGCTAGTACTGTTGCTGGTATTATTGCCATTTGTAATCCTGGGAAGTAGACACTGATATCCTCAGGTGGCTCACAGACAAATAGTAACTCTCATAGAGAAATAGGGACAGGGACATGAATTTCCTGGACCGTTTCCCAGCAGCCTCTGTAGAGCATCACTCTCTAGATGACACCGTGGTAGGGTATGAAGAAGCAGTGGGTTCATGAGTTTCCTCAGACCTCTCTCAGCTGGCACAGAAGACCTGCATAATATGAAGAAACCCAACGCCAGTTCTCTGGCTCCTGCCCCTGCCTCTGCCTCTCTACAAGCCCTAACCTCTTTGCCTCCTGCCATAGGTCTCTCTCCACTCATTGCTTCCCCAAGCATACCCAGCACAGTGTCCCCCAGCTGGCCCACCTCCACAGCAGTGCTGAACTCTGGGAGCCTTGAGTCCCTGGGACACCAACAGGACTCAGACAGAATTTTGACAAGGCTGCCTGGTGTGTCTGGAAACAGCTGGAAGAAAGGTGAGGCTTTTTGAGTTGGGCTGGGAGCCCTGGATGGGAATTTGAGTCAGGTAGTAGGTACTCTCCGGGGAGTATATCCTTGCATGGGGACCTGAGGGGCAGGGCGGCAGAGGAAGGATGAAGGAGCCAGCATGGGGTTGGTAAGAGTAATGGGACTAGAAATGATCTTGCACCTTTCAGGTCTGAGGCTGCTCCCCTCCCCCACTTGACAGATGGGGAAACTGAGACCCATGGGGGGTTAGGCAATAAGTCATATTCAATTGGAGCTCAGCTCATTATCTTGGGATCACTGAAGATCTCTGGGGTGAGGGTGGTCCAGAAGTCCCAAGGAGGACTCTGTTCTCCAAATGGACCCCAAGAAGAGACTTGGCACATCCCTCAGCCTAGCCAGTTCCTTATCCTGACTTCTCTTATTTTAGTCTCACCACTCAGATTGTAAACCTCAGACACACCCTTTCGTCTTCTTCCCACTAAAGCATTGAGGTGGCCACTAGTTACGAGTGCAGAAACTCACAGAATTTAGAGGCAGTGCCAGGACTAGAATTTAGAAAAATCCATACATGGGGCAGTGATTTCCTCCTCCATCTAGCCACTTCTTTGTGAAAGTTCCACCTTCCCTTCCTTTCTTTTGTTCTTCCTTCAGTTGGAACTCTTATATCAGCACCCCCGAGCAGTGGCATAGTGACTACAGACTCAAATTTCACTGCCCTCAGATTTACACTGACCTCACCCACTTTCTGTGTGACATGGAACAATCTGAGCTTTCATTCTACTGCTTTCACTCCACATGTCTCTCCTACTCTACAGTATAGAATTTGCACCTTTTCAAGCTCCACAAAAAGAAAATTCACTTGCACAAAGGTCTGAGTGAAAACTCTACCAAAGACATTGTAGGAAGTGTTAAGGTGCTCACATCTTCCTTATATTCCTGCCAGCATTCCTCTCTCTTTTGCCCTTACTCTGGCAGTACCCAACCTCACCAGCTCTTCTCTGTAACACAGAGCAATTCTGCTTTTCCCTAATTTGCATGGCCTAAGTTTCAGTGCCTAACAAAACTGCCTGGCAATAAAGACACCCATCCTCCCTAGAATGTTACACAGTAGCTCTTTATTGTCACTTAAAATGAGGAACTCTACCCAAACCTTGTTTATCAACAATCTTTCTATTTAATGAACAATCTCACCACCAAGAAGTTTCAGACTAGCTACTAAAAAAGAAAAATTATATATCTAAACGTACATGGCTTAAAAAATAAGATTGTTAATACCCATCTCACAGAATTCTTGTGAGAGTTTGTTTTGGTTTGGATGTGAAGTGTTCCCTAATGGCTCATGCATTGAGGGCTTAGTCCCCAGCTGGTGGATGCAAGCACTGAGAGGTGACTGCATCATGATGGTTCTGACCTAACCAATCCACAGAAAGAGACACATTTTGATGGCAATATTGGGAGGTGGTGGGAATGAGGAGTTAGGGCCAAGCCAGAGGATGCAGGTCACTGGGGATGTGCCCTGCAGAGGTATCCTTTCCCCTGATACCAGGATCTGCTTCCTGGCTGCCATGAGGTGAGCATCTTCCTCTGCCACAGGCTCCCCCTAAGATGATTTTCTGCCTCACGTCAGATCCAAAGCTACAGAGTCAGCAAACCTTAGATGGAAATCATGAGTCAAAATAAAGTTTTCATTCTTTTAAGTTGTATCTCTCAGGTATTGATACAGAGACAGAAATTGGCTAATGTAGAGTTCAAAATGTGTGTCTGAAATAAAATGGATAGTCACTAGCTAGTTATTTCTTTCCTGTCATTTCCACCACTGTCTACAGTCAAAGCAGCATATTGCTTGCATTGGTGCCCAAATTGCTTTAGTTATTAAATGAATGAAGGAACAACGCTATATTATTCCTTTAAGTTCCATCTTCCCTCCCTTTCTTAGGAGGCAGAAAAAGATCCAAGAATCAGAAGACACAGAAGACCTGCCCCACACATTCCTGGAAAAATGAGTATTTGCAACAAAAATTCACACAGTTGCTACTCCTACAAAAACCTCTTCCCAGAGGCCTGGAGCCCCAGATCTGGGAAAGCTGCCATCAGGATGAAGTGCAGGAACGTGGACATCTGATTGAGATCCAAGACATGTTTGACCCCAGCCCTGGTACCCAGGAAGAACCTCAGATAGTCGTACTGCATGGGACTGCTGGAATTGGGAAGTCAACACTGGCCAGGCAGGTGAGGGGAGCCTGGGAGGAAGGCCAGCTGTACAGGGACCGCTTCCAGCATGTCTTCTACTTCAGCTGCAGAGAGCTGGATCGGTGTGGGGTGTTGAGTCTGGCTGAGCTCATTGCAAAAGACTGGGCAGCCCCTGAAGCTCCCATTGGCCAGATCCTGTCTCAGTCCAAGCAGCTGCTCTTCATCCTGGATGATGTGGATGAGTTAAAATGCGTCTTGAAGGAGACGTCTGAGTTCTGTCTGCACTGGAGCCAGCCACAGCCAGTGCACACACTGTTGAGCAGTTTACTGTGGAAATCCTTGCTCCCTGAGGCTTCATTGATGATCATAGCTCGGACCACAGCACTGAAGAAGCTCATTCCTTTGAAGAAGCCACGTTGGGTGGAAGTCCTGGGCTTCTCTGAGTCCAGCAGGAAGGAATATTTCTACAAATATTTCCCAGAGGAAGGCCAAGCAAGTAGAGCCTTTAGCTTGGTTGAATCAAACCCAGCACTCCTGACCCTGGGTCTCGTGCCCTGGGTGTCCTGGCTGATCTGTGCTTGTCTGAAGCAGCAGATGGAGCGGGGACAAGAGCTCCTGCCTACCTTTCAGACCACCACGGCCCTCTGTCTGCACTACTTTGCACAAGCTCTCCCAGCTAAACTCCTGAAGACCCAGCTCAGGGTTATCTGCTCTCTGGCTGCTAAGGCCATCAGGAGAAAAAAGACCCTATTTAGAGAAGGTGGCCTCAGGAAGCACAGGTTAGACAGAGCCATTAAAACCATTTTCTTGAAGATGGGCATTCTTCAAAAGCACTGCGACTCTTCTAGTTACTGCTTTACTGACCCCTGTTTCCAGGAGTTCTTTGCTGCAATGTTCTGTGTATTGGGGGATAAGGAGGAAAAAAGTGAACATCCTAGCCTTTACAAAGGTGTGGAAAAGTTGCAAAAAGTGCTCAGAAAGAATGGTCTGCTGGGAACACTTACGAGACGCTTCTTATTTGGACTTTTAAGTGAGCAGGGGATGAGAGCCATGGATAACATCTTCACCTGCCAGCTGCTTCCAGAGAGGAAATCAGAGCTGCTACAGTGGGCACAAGCAGAAGCTTTGCTCCTGCTGCCATATTCTCTGGAGTGGTTCCACTGTCTGTATGAGATTCAGGATGAGGAGTTCGTGGCCCAGGCTATGGTACATTTCCGAGGAACAAAGATATTTGTCCAGACAGACGTGGAGCTCCTGGTGGTCACTTTCTGCATTAAATTCTGCAGCCATGTGAAGAGGCTTCAACTGAATAAGGGTGAACAGCAGGGACAAGCTGCTACCCCTGGGGTAGTTCTGTGAGTATCCAAGCCCTCCCCTAAGTCCAGATCCTCTGTGGGTCCCACAGAGCCACATGATCTGAGCACTGGGGACACTCTCAGCCTGGCCCATGGCTACAGGATGGAGCTCACCAGTGACTTCTAACTACCCAAGCCAACCACCATTCCCTATCAATGATGCCACTCTTGCCCCAGGCTGTCACCCTGAAACACCTCTACTCTTTCATAAAGTAGCTCTTGTAATCACCCTGCATGCAGCATCACTGAGAACCTCCCTCCCAGGCTTCCTGCCTCTGTGGCATCACTCAGCATCAGTGTCTGTCTCCTCCTTAGATGATTCACTCCATAACTGTTCACTGAGCCCTGAGGTATGCCAGATCCCACCAATCCCAAATTGAAAAACATAGTCCCTACACTAAGGAGATCAAAACCCAGGAGAGAAGACAGACAGACACCCAGTAATTGTGTTCTTGTGTAAAACCTGAAATCATAAAGGGATAGCCAAGGTACCAGAGTGTGGACCAGAAAAGGAGAGATTTCAGTCTTCTATTTTCAAGTTCTTGAAGGTTTTATCTTGATAAAACTCATGTTACTTGTAGAAAAGTAAGCACAAAGAGGAAAATTAATATCAATCAGAATCCCATTACAAAGAATTGAGGTATATCCTTATAGTTATTTATTTTCCTAGGCACTTTCATATGGGGGAAATTGAGCTATATGTTACATTTTATCTTGTAGTAAATTTTATTGTCTTATTATATCCAGTCTACTTTTCATGTTACTCAGAAGTCTGATAAATATATGATACCCCCTGGGGAGAGTTCCATGGCTGATTTCACCATTTCCCTGATCTTGGACTTGTTAGGTTGTGTCCAGTTATTCATGGTGATAAACATGACTTGGCCTTGAAGGACCTGGATGCTGGTTGCAAGTAGCAGTGGCCTAATATGGGTCATTTAGAAGACTTCAGAGCAGGCACAAGTCTGAGGCCAGATGGGAGCAAGAGAAATCCTGGACACAAGGCCAGAGCAGGACAGTTTGGAATGGACAGTGGCCCATGGAGCCTGGAGAGAATCCCTGGGAAAGTCAGAGGCTTCTGCTGCTTGCAGGGCTGGGGGAATGACAATGTGCGAGGCCCTGAGTCAGCCAGGCAAGTTGGGGAACAGAAAGGAGGCTGCTGAACACAGACAGGAGAGTCCAGAAATAAATGACGGAGAATGGCCACAGGCTGTGGGGGAGGGACAGCCAGCCAGAGATGACAGCTGAAGCAACAAAGATGGCATAGGGATAGCTTTGGGGTTTGGCTCATAATTGAGCCTCATGCATTTCGACTAATTTTTATTTTTTCTTTCAGTTAGTATAAATGCTATACTTGAGCAGCCAAGAAGCCATCTTTGAATGGTTAATTAATTGGCTTCTTTCACATTTCTTTAGTTTTCTGAAATTTGAATAATACATTTTTTTCATTTTTTTGTTTCAGTCAGCATTGGTCACGCTTAACGTTTCTCCAGGGATTGAACTGAGAGCCTCACACTTCTCCCCAGGAATATCACATGGCCATTCAAAAGGGTGTTTATCAGACTTCTTAGTAATACAAGATAACCGTAATATGTTAAGAATGTGAAACTGACTATAGACAAAATGTACAGTATGATTCAATTTTCCCATAGAAAAGTGCATGGAAATAAAGAGGACATTGCTCTATCTCACTTAAGCCATGTCCCCTGTCATTTGGTGCTTAGTTTGTTTTTCAGGTGGAATCTCCATTACTTTCCTCTGCATCCCTAGTAGCTGGTATTACAGAAGTATACCACCATGGCCTACCTTTATATACAGCATTTATACTTCTGAAGTTTATACTTTTTTTGGAGTTACTGGGGTTTGAACTCAGGCCTTGACTTGCTAGGCAAGTATTCTACCATTTGTGCTAAACTACTGAAACTTTTTGCTTTAGTTTTCAGATCATGTTTGAACAGTTTGTCCACACTGGCCATGGACTGTGAAACCCCTCCCATTCAGTTGGTACTACCATACCTGGGATCACCTGGGATCATGTGCCACCATGCTAGGCTTGTTTTTTGAAACAGGGTCTTGAAAGTTTTTGCCTTAGCTGCCTCTAACCCAGTTCTACCTCCTGAGTAACTGAGATTACAGGAGTACATGGATTACTATCACATTCAGCCCCGATGTTTTTACTTCTTTAAGCTTAAAAACAGCAGTAGGACTTTTGTGAGACTCTGAAATGTCTTGCCACCCTTGTGAAAGCTCTCTAGTAGCAGGTACTATTTCTACCTTGTTTTACTTCTGAGGAGACTAAGTGGGAGACAGAGTTGGGGGTCTCCCTTGCAGACAGCTGACTCCAGAGCCACATCTCTTCACAGTTTGGCAGACTTGGAGGGTGGAGAAATGATTTAAGATGAGAAGCACATTGAGACAGAGTGGGCCAATGAACTACTGTGAGTGCAAAGTAGTGGTATCTGGCAAGAATTAAATACAGGAGTCCACAGCTTGGTATACAGTTTGCATAGTTGAAACCTGGAGCAGATGAGACACTAAGGTAGTGTGGAAATGGAGACATTAAATAGGTGGAAGTCACATATGAGTCTACTCATACTCTCAGATGCAGCCTGTCATCCTCCCCCATTCAGACTGCAAACCTTCTCTCCTGGGCCACCCATTTTATCATCTCTTGCCCGAGGACCATCTCTATGGTCTTGCTATCCTGGTAGGGGAAAGGGGCCCATGTGAACCAGTATGGACAGCAGTATATAAGATCATATTCAAGACCCCATCATAAAATCATCCTCAAACCACCTCTCATGCCCCAGTTCCCAAATCCCATCTCCACCTTTCCTTTCTGGATCTCAAGAATTTAGTGCCAGATGAAGACAGTTATGTTTACATGGAAGTAAGGAAGCTTCCCCTGTGCGAGGCCCTATGCTGGGCACTGCAAATAAAAAAGATGACAGTTGTCGCCCCCTGCCCTGGAAGAACACCCAGACTGAGGCAGCAGGAGACACAGAATGGGCCCATCAGGATGCCGTGCTGAGGGCTGTAGAATAAGGAGCCACATAGAGGGGGTTGGGGACAGGCAGAGAGGCTGGTCAGTCCTGGCAATGGCATCTCCCATGGAGTTCTGACACTCAAGGGGACAGAGTCCCACTCTGTTGTGCACCTCAGACACTGCACACACAGGTCACATCTCTCCTGTTCCTCTCTCTCCCTCAGGTCCACATGGGCTCCAATCACCAGTGCCTCTTGGCAGGTTCTCTTCTCCACTCTCAGGGACAGCAGAAGGCTGAAGGAGCTGGACCTAAGTGGAAATCTGCTGAGTTGTTCTTCAGTGCGGAGTCTTTGTGAGACACTGAGACACCCAAGCTGCCATCTGGAGACCTTGCAGTGAGTCTGGCCTGTGTTCTCCCCTGGAGCGGGGTGAGCAGGAGAGTGAAGGTAGAAGCTGGGTCTAGGATGAGGCTTAGCCTCTGTAATCATTAAATATTCATTTATTTCATCTGTGACCAACACTGTGATGGATGCCAGGCTACTGTGGTCAACAGACAGGAGTTTTTCTCACAGAGGATAGGAGAGACTGACATTAGTCAAGGAGTTGTACCAACAAACATGCAACAGACCCAGACCAGGATCCAGTGAAGAAAACTTCTTGAGTAAGTGTCCTATAGATTGAAAGAATACAAAGGTTTGACTATGTGAAGCAGATGAGGAGAAAGTTCCAGGCTGAGGGAATGGTATCTGCCCATTTCCTGTCCCCTACCCTACTTACCCACCATTCTACTCTTTGTTTCTATGTCCTTTGCCTACTTAAAGATTTCACGCACAAGAAAGATCATGTAATATTCTTCTAAGTCTTTATTTCACTTCTGGATTGATCTGGAAATACATTGAACAAGCTAGAATCAAGAATCTGAGATTTTTCCTTTATGAGTTATAAAATTGAGCATATTTTGTAGACAAAGAAGTTGCTAAAGGAGAGGGTGAAGATCTCAGATAACCAGGAAGAACAAGGTCATGGGAGGGTCAAGAGGACATGGAATCACAGACACCCAAGGGCAGTGCCATACCTGCTCTGGGACAGAGGGACAGAGAAAGACTGTTGAAGACACAGCAGCTGAGGGCAAAAGGTTGAGCAACATAGAGAGTTTCAAGGCCCATATCAACAGCATCTTTTCATCACTAACCTTAGTCAGGTACCATCCCAAGTACATGGCACACATTTTCTTTGTTAATCGTTGCAACCAATGTACCAAATAAGCTTGAAAAATCCATGTTATAGGTGAATAAATAAAATAAGGAAACTGGCTCATAGACTGTAATTAGTAACCAACAGAGACAGGATCTGAACTCCAGTCTGTCTAGCTCAAGAATCCTTAACTAGTACCCTCCACCACCCCAGCGAGCTTCCCCCAGCCTCCTCAACAAAGTCCAAGGCCAGAAGTCCTCAGCAGGGTTGGAGAGGGATTGGGTATGGGGAAGGGGAATCCACGCAGCATATAGTGTAATAGTGAGATCTGGATGAACAAAGCCACAGAGGAAGTATCCATCTGCCTCAGTTGTGAGACGTGGCAGGTGGCAGACACAGAACCACATCTGGACCACCTGGACCTTGACTTTCTTAGGTTACAATCTAAAACTCAGGATTGGGAGCAAGAAAAAAAGCAGATATTGTCTGTAAAGATCTACCCAATACAGGGTACTCTAAATGCCAAGTTCTGGAACATGTCTTCAATATAACTAACCTTGGATTCTCATCCAACATAAAGAAGTCCAGAAACAAGCCCCCTAAAAGGGGGGAAGAAGGCAACTATTGTGAGAAAAAGGAGAGACAGGGACTTTATTTATTTTTATTTTTTTTATTAATCATATGCGCATATAACGCTTGGGTCATTTCTCCCCCCTGCCCCCACCCCCTCCCTTACCACCCACTCCACCCCCTCCCTCTCCCCCCCACCCCCTCAATACCCGGCAGAAACTATTTTGCCCTTATCTCTAATTTTGTTGAAGAGAAAGTATAAGCAATAATAGGAAGGAACAAGGGGTTTTGCTGATTGAGATAAGGATAGCTATACAGGGAGTTGACTCACATTGATTTCCTGTGCATGTGTGTTAACTTCTAGGTTAATTCTTTTTGATCTAACCTTTTCTCTAGTTCCTGGTCCCCTTTTCCTATTGGCCTCAGTTTCTTTTAAGGTATCTGCTTTAGTTTCTCTGCATTGAGGGCAACAAATGCTAGCTAATTTTTTAGGTGTTTTACTTATCCTCATACCTCCCTTGTGTGCTCTCGCTTTTATCTTGTGATCAAAATCCAATCCCCTTGTTGTGTTTGCCCTTGATCTAATGTCCACATATGAGGGAGAACATACGATTTTTGGTCTTTGGGGCCAGGCTAACCTCACTCAGAATGTTGTTCTCCAATTCCATCCATTTACCAGTGAATGATAACATTTCGTTCTTCTTCATGGCTGCATAAAATTCCATTGTGTATAGATACCACATTTTCTTGATCCATTCGTCAGTAGTGGGGCATCTTGGCTGTTTCCATAACTTGGCTATTGTGAACAGTGCCGCAATGAACATGGGTGTGCAGGTGCCTCTGGAGTAACCTGGAGAGGGGGACTTTAGAATGGAGTGAGGTATTTGACAACCAAGAGAGGCATAACTAGGCCCCACTTTCAACCTCCTGCCTCTTTCTGAACGCCCTCTCCTCACAATCTCATCCTGTGCCCCCTCCTTCCGCTGCCTTCCAGGTCTCCATCTGCAACTCCAGACCCAGCCTCTGGGTCCCAGAGGCCCCTAAATTCAGCATATTCTAACCTAGATTTTCTTCCCTATCTAAATAAAACCTGCTCCTCCAGTCAGGACCAACTGTGTCATTATCAGAACTCAGTACAAAATGAAATTGCAGTGCCCTTGCTCAAAAATAAAAATCAAAGTGCATTTAGGTGCTACCATAGATTTTCCTTCCTTCCAACAAATATTCTCGTGACCGATTATGGCATCTTTATTTTTCTATTTAATGTCGCATTCCCTCAGCCACCTGGATATTAGCAAGATGCACACAGACCTTAATTCATGTATGAGGGCCCTGTCCACAACTTGGAATCTACACATGGTCCTCAAAATGTCAGATTTTTCCTTCCCAACAGCCACCAGGCCTGTGCACTGTGCCCTGGAGAAGATGGGAAGTCAAGCCAGATAGTTTCCATCTCCCATGGGTCTACCAATTCACAGATGGAGTCCCTGTGTACCCTAGTATTGTCCTATCCAAGTCAGAACTGGTGAGAGATTTGCCCTCACCAAACCACCAAATGTGCCTTGCTGAGTATCTCACCTGACACTTTCCACTGGGGAAAACGGGCAACAGTGATCACTGTGCTAAAGAGAAAGCTGGGTGAGACCCTGTGACACTAGGATGCAGAGAAATAGATGGCTAATATATATGTTATATATAATGTACTAATATATGATATAATATATAATATAATATATAACACACTAATATAATATATAGTGCATTTCAATATATAATACCTAACGTACTAATAGAGTGCATATATCTATATATAGTACATATATGTACTAATATAGAACATATAACATATATATATAAAATGTACTTCAATCATATTCACTCCCTATCACACTCCCCTTTTCCCCTTCCTCGTCTCTTGTTTCTCTCCTAAACAGGCCCACTCTTACAATCATATTATATTGTTATTATCTTTTTGGTGGTACTGGGGTTTCAACTGAGGACCTCATGTTTGTTAGGCAGGTGATCTACCACAAGAGCCACCCCACCAGTCCTGTTTTTTGTGTTGGGCTTTGTCGAGTTAAGATCTTGCTAACTATTTGCCCTGTCTGGCTTCCAATCACGATCCTCCTGAACTCTGCCTCCTGAATAGCTAGAATCCACATATGAGTGCAAACATGCAATATTTGTCTTTCTGAGCCTGACTTACCTTGATTATTGTGATAATCACCATTTCCATGCGTTTTCCTACAAATAACATAATTTCATTCTTCTTTATTAATGAATAATATATCATGGTGTTTATACACCACATTTTCCTTATCCATTCAGAGGAGTTGGACACCTAAGCTGATTTCACAACTTGGCTATTGTGAACAATGCTGCAATAAGCATGAATTTCAGGTACCTCTGTTGTGTGTTGGCTTACATTCCTTCAGACATATGCCCAAAGATGGGCATAGCAGGATCATATGATAGTTCTATTTTTAGTTTTTTGAGGAATGTTTATACTGGTTTTCATAGTGGCCATACTAATTTACATTCCTACCAACAATATATATAGGTTTCTGTTTCCTTGCATCCTCGCCACCATCTGTTGTTTGTTATCATGATGACACCCATTCTGATTGGGGTGAGATGGAATCCCAATGTCATTTTGACTTGCATTTCCTTTATGGCTTAGGATGTTGAACATTTCTTCATGGTTTTTTTTGCCATTTGAACTTCTTTTGAGAACTGTCTAATTCGTTTGTCCATTTATTAATTGGATTATTTGCTTTTTTTGTTCAAATTTTATATATCATTTAATATGTAAACTTAATCTCTATGGATTCTGAATATTAATCTTTTATCTAAAGAATAAGTAGCAAAGATTTTCTCCTATTCTGTGTTATCTCTTGATTATGAACCTTGTTTCATTTGCTATGTGGAAGCTTTGTAATTTGTTGGAATTCCATTTGTCAGTTCTCACTTTAATTTTCTTAGCAATTGGAGTCCTGCTCAGAAGTCATTTCTTATGCCCATGTCTTCAAGTATTTTCTCTATGTTTTTAGTCTAGAAGCTTCAAAGTTTTAGGTCTTACATTGAGATATGTGCTCCATGTTGAATTGATTTTTGTACAGTGTGAGAGCTCTAGTTCAATCTTTTAAATGTGAATATACATTTCCAACAATAGTTCCCAACACTATTTGTGGAAGAGACTGTCTTTTCTCCAAAACATGCTTTTTGCTACTTTGTCAAAAATCAAATGGCTGTATCTGTTTGGATTTATTTCTGAGTGTTCTATTCTACACCATTGATCTACCTGTTTTTGTGCCACAGCCATGAAGTTTTTGTTACCGTGGCTCTGTAGTATAATTTGTGATACCTCCTGCATCTCTTTTTTGCTCAAGATTACTTAAACTATTCGGAATCTCTTATGCTTCCATATAAGCTTAAGGATTGATTTTTCTATTTCTATGGAGAATGACATTGGATGCTGGGAACGGTGGACCAAGTCTGTAATCCCAGCTACTCAGAAATAGAGATTAAAGGGATAACAATTTGAGGCCTGCCCAGACAAAAAGTTAGCAAGACCCCAATCTCAACCAAAAAAGCTGAATGTGGTGGCTCACACCTGTCATCTCAGCTATGT